TGTAGAACCGTGTAGTGTGCTTCAGTGAGAGAATGTCCGTCCATACATATTATTTGTTCCCCTTCTAGCGTGCCTTTTCCATCCAGTCTGCCCTTATGCCGCGATTCAGGAACACCAATCGGCTTAAGGTCAGGAATAAAGTCAATACAAAACTCAATGACCTCCTCATTTTCATGGCCCTTGGAGATGCTTCCTTCTGGCCTAGCACGGTTATGAACATATTTTTTTAAGACTCCCATGAACCTCTCAAAGGGGAACATATTGTGTAGAAATACAGGACCCAAAACGTTAATCTCTTCGCATAGGTGAACTAGGACGTGCGTCATGATGTTGAAGAAGGATGGTGGGAACACCAACTCGAAACTGACAAGACATTGCACCAAATCATTCTCTAACCTTGGTATGATTTTTGGATCGATTACCTTCTGAGAGATTGCATTGAGAAATGCACATAGCTTCACAATGGCTAATCGAACGTTTTCCGGTAGAAGGCCCCTCAATGCAACCAGAAGCAGTTGCGTCATAATCACGTGGCAGTCATAAGACTTTAGGTTCTGGAACTTTTTCTCTGCCATGTTTATTATTCCCTTTATATTCGACGAGAAGCCAGACGATACCTTAATACTAAGCAGACATTCAAAGAAGATTTCCTTCTCTTCTTTGGTAAGAGCATAGCTTGCATGACCCTGATGTATGCTGTCTTTTCCGTGCATACGTTGCTGGTCCTCCCGTGCCTCAAGTGTATCTTTTGTCTTCCCATACACGCCCAAGAAGCCAAGCAGGGTCACACAAAGATTCTTCGTCACGTGCATCACGTCGATTGTGGAGCGGACCTCTAGGTCTTTCCAATAGGGCAGGTCCCAAAATATAGATTTTTTCTTCCACATGGCTGCGCGTCCGTCAGCGTCATTCGGAACATGTTGTCCACCAGGACCCTTTCCAAAGACCACCTTCAAATCCTTGACCATATCATGTACATCAGCACCAGTACGGTGGCGAGGCTTCGTCCAGTGATCCGCCTCACCTTTGAAATGCTTGCCTTTCTTTCTTACGGGATGCCTGCTCGGAAGAAATCGACGATGTCCCAGGTACACACTCTTCTTACAATTAGCCAAATATATACTGTCGGTATCGTCCAAACAGTGCGTGCATGCGCGGTATCCCTTGTTTGTCTGTCCTAAAAGGTTACTGAGAGCAGGCCAATCATTGATGGTCACGAACAGCAACGCCTTTAGGTCAAATTCTTCCCCCATGTGCTCATCCCATGCACGTACACCTGTTCCATTCCACATTTGTAAGAGTTCTTCAACTAATGGCCGTAGGTACACATCAATGTCGTTGCCGGGTTGCTTAGGACCTTGGATGAGCACTGGCATCATAATGAACTTCCACTTCATGCACAACCAAGGAGGAAGGTTATACAAACATAGAGTCACAGGCCAGGTGCTATGGTTGCTGCTTTGCTCCCCAAAAGGATTAATGCCATCCGCGCTTAGACCAAACCATATGTTCCTTGCGTCATCTGCAAACTCCTTCCCGTACTTTCTTTCGATTTTTCTCCACTGCGACCCGTCAGCGGGTACTCTCAACTTTCCGTCTTTCTTACGGTCTTCTCTGTGCCATCGCATCGCCTTGGCATGCTCTTTGTTTTGGAACAAACGTTTCAACCGTGGTATTATAGGAGCATACCACATCACCTTGGCAGGAATCTTCTTCCTGGGGCGCTCGCCCTCGACATCACCAGGGTCATCGCGGCTGATCTTATAGCGCAATGCACCGCATATCGGGCAAGTGTTCAAATCCTCGTACTCACCGCGGTAGAGGATGCAATCATTAGGGTATGCATGTATCTTCTGCACCTCTAACCCTAGAGGGCAGACAACCTTCTTTGCTTGGTGTGTACTCTCGGGCAATTCGTTGTCCTTTGGAAGCATATCCTTTATCATTACCAGCAACTTTCCAAATCCCTTGTCAGATACACCATTCTCTGCCTTTCATTGCAGCAATTCCAGTGTGGTGCCCAGCTTTTTCTTGTCACCTACGCAATTCGGGTACAACAATTTTTCGTGATCCTCTAACATGCACTGCAACTTCTTCTTCTCCAAATCACTTGCGTAGTTTCTCTTTGCATCGGCAATGGCCCGACCTAGATCATCAACGGGCTCATCCGATGCCTCTTCTTCAGCTTCTTCCTGCATTGCCGGCTCAGCTTCTTCCCGCATTACCGGCTTAGCTTCTTCCCTCATTGTTGTATCATCGTATTCAGGGAACCCATGGCCAGGATAGCTGTCATCGTCCTCTTCTTCTTCATTGTCTTCGATCATAACCCCTCTTTCTCCATGCTTGGTCCAAACATTATAGTGGGGCATGAAACCGGACTCAAACAGGTGGACGTGAATGGTTCTTGACGTAGAGTAATTGCGACCATTCTTACAGCCAGCACATGGACAATACATAAAACCATCCGCTCGCTTGTTTTCCTCAGCCGCAAGCAGAAAAGTACGCACGCCATTAATGAACTCGGGAGAGCATCGGTCATCGTACATCCATTGCCGGCTCATCTTCAATACACAGCACCGAAAACATCAAATTAATACAATACATAAAGTTCATACATAAAGATCATACAACACTTAAGTGCAACAAACAAATAACTCTCTAGCTAAAGAATTTAAATGCAACAACAAATGCGATCAAGATCGCAACTAAGATAATAATTGATCCAACAGCATAATGATACCAAGCCTCAATATGAATGGCATATTTTCTAATCTTTCTAATCTTCAAGCGCATTTTCTCCATCTTAATCTTGTGATCATCGACGACATCGGCAACATGCAACTCCAATTCCATCTTCTCCCCCTCAATTCTTTTCAATTTTCCTTCAAATCCTCATTTTTTCTTTCAACTAAATTTAACCTCTCGATAATAGGGCCGGTTGGAATTTCGGGTTCAACTACCTCCTACACACAAATATCTATGTCAACTTGATGGGCATAATTTGTCATAAACACGAAATGCAATGAATAGTTTTAAAAGAGAATATACCACATCCAAATCATAACCCGGACGAGGGCCGACGGGGACGGATATCAAAACCATGGCACTATGCATAACAAACAACGTATGGGTAAGATAATTATACGAGTAACTATATATCCAAATCACACAAACATCATTTTTTTATATAAAACTTCATGAAGAAGAGGCTCACCACAAGGTGGTGCCGGCGACGGGACGTTGCGAGCGATCGACGGTGGTTACGACGGAGATTTAGAAGGTACTAAGTAAACCACACCTACATATGCAAAACTAAGTGTTATTTTTGACCTCAAATTGCATATAAATCAAATACTAGCATATATATATAATTCCTCCCAAATTACTAAACTCAAAAATCAATCACTATATAAAGCATTGCACGAGCTAATCTAGCAATGAGAGATGAAAAAAAAAGTTGCTAACCTTTGTGGTCATTTGAATGGATGGGGGCCTTCAAATCTTGGGCAAAATATGTGATGAGCTTGAGAGGAAGAGGGAAAAGAACAGAGAGGAGAGGGGAAAGGGGAAGAACAGAGCGAGCTCGGGTGGACGAAGGGTCTATGTAGGACGACCTTTAGTACCGGTTCATGATACGACCCGGTACTAAAGGTGCTGGAGGGGCCCCGGACTGACAACATCCTGCCACCACTCACTTTAGTATCGGTTCGTGGCACAAACTGGTGCTAAAGGTTCGCCACGAACTGGTACTAATGAGAGCGGCTCGGCTAGCCGTTGGAACCGGCACTAATGTACACATTAGTGCCGGCTCAAATTCAAACCGGCACTAATGTGCTTCACGTTTGACCATTTTTCTACTAGTGGTTGAACAAAATAATTTATGAAATCATTCATTTTCAAACGCGCTTGCCTAAACCGCTCGCTGCGAGTGCCACGCATCCCGGTGGGGGCCGCCAATGCTCAACCTTATCTTCTTGTCTCTTCCTCCCAATTAGATCAATCCGCTTTCTTTTCTCCGCCCCACCACTTGCTCTCTCTGCTCTTGACGCCATGGACGCGCTCCAAGCGATGACCCCAAGCTCCAGTCGGTGGTGCCTCCCAAGCACTCAACACGTCACTGTCTCCCAAGTTGCACCGCGACGCTGACCAAGCCCACTACGACGCAACCCTCATTGGCGTTGTTGGCAGTGTAGTGCAGAATTCTTGTTGCTGCATGAGAGGCACAGGGTGCAGCGATGCAACGCTCTTCGGTGTTGTAGGAGCCGCGAGGCACGCTTGTCGGGGATGCAATGGAGCTTCATGATGTCGTCGATGCTGTGTTGGAGCTTCGCCGTGCGCGTCGAGGTTACAATGAAGCATCACCTGGCGCTGCAATGGAGCGCCGCCGGGGTCATTAGGCCGCAACGGAGCTCTGTCGGTGTTGCATTGAGCGTGGTTTGTGCTGCAATGGAGCTTTCCCGACATCGGCGGTGCTACATTGCAACCTTCTCACCCCTCGAGGGGTTACAATGGAGCTTTGCAGTGTGTTGGGGGGGGGGGTCGTCAAGGTTGCGCTCAATGCTGCCATGGACAGCACCCGGATGTAAGATAGTTGATCGGACGTTGTTGCGCCAAATTAGTAGAGGGGGAGATGAGTTGATTGATCCAACGGATGTAAGATAGTTGATCGGACGTTGTCAACTTTCTTCAGGAAATTAGCCGGTTGATTTGTAGGAGCGCCCAATAATTGACCCCCAAAAAAAGAGCATTTTTTTTACAAGTTGCTGGTATAATTGGCGCCCTGGCAATCAAGGAGGGTTGACGACGCATTCCTAGGCCCCAGCCTGCCTGCGTGGGCTGAAAGCCACCGAGGTGGGCCAAGCTCGGTTGGCTCGTCCACCATGAGCTCACGTCATGGTGGAAGTAGTGTTCTCAGCTGACATAAGTCCACCAGTGGGTGATGTATGAACTATCATTATGTATAAATTGTAAACTGAGTTCTTGCAGTACATGAATGGTAATCATCCTAGGTAGTCTATCAATAAGGAGAAAGGGACCAAGCAAAGCCCTTTCTTCCTCAGATCATTACACTCAGTCAATTGTTTCCCGTTGTTATCTCCACCAATGATCGATTCTTGAACTGCACCAGTGGCCTGCTGCCTTGACCGTGTACCAAGAAAATAGTTGGCCTACAATATTTGAAGAACACATGATTTAATGGGAAATATACATGTATAACACATAAATAATGTCTGAGGGAAGCAAGGAAGAGATGATAATGATTGTTCACAAACATACAAGTTGTGGGGTGTTCATCTCTTTTGTATCCATGGTTATCATTGACTTCATGTAAACAACGTTGATGTTGGTAACCTGTACAGCAAATCATAACTACGTTATAAGAAACGCTATATGCACTACTGCTTAACAAGTTATCGCTAACCAGAGAAAGCTCCCGTATGTGATCGACAAACTAGATTTTGGGAGGACCGGTGGGTATGTGATGTTGCCTTATGTAGGCAATTCCCTAGATTATATGATCTTAGCCATAACAGGAATATTTCCAGTTATATAGTTTTAACAGAAGATTGGACCTGCCTAAATTTTTGTAGAGAGCTTACATGGTGACATTGTTCTCCTTTGCATCAGTTATCATATATGTGTGAGAATGTGCCCTTGTCCGTGGAAAAGGACAAGTCCAGGTGGACATAGTGCTCTTTGGGGGCAATTCGGTGTTAGATTGTGATACAATACAGTGTACTCAAAACTAGGCAAGTGTTTTTGTGGTTGGCTCTTAGGAACAATACATTTATTAACTAGAAACGTGCTGCTTCACAGGGGAATTGATTAGTTTTCGAAATAGTATTTTTTTTCCAGCTTAGCTCAATTCATGCATGGTTCCGGACAATCTTCTTGGTTGCAAAAACATTGGGTAGGTAACGCTAGATGCTTATTTTGTTATGCAAATGAAAATGTTGGCAATATTTTTTTGGTTGTGGGTGACGAATTATATCATGAATGTAGTATGAAATGCTTTCAATTCCTGCTAGTTTTTTATGAGCTTCCTAGCTGGTGCAATAAATTTAGTTTGAGATCCAGAAATTTAGTATCCGTTGGTGTAGCTTCTGCGATTTAGACTATATGGGATGCCCTTAAGATTCATCTTTTATGAATGTTTATCTCTATGAGCTTAATTAGACTTTGTTATTTTTCACTAAATGTCTTTTTAGCTAATTTCAGAGAACAAAACTTTAAATAAATGTAGTTAGGCGGGAAAAGACTTCTAGTTGTGATTACCACTAAGATAATCCTTGAAATTCACAAGGCCACGCAGGTGCGGGGGTACGCATCTGCCGAGCTGCACTCTGCAACATGATTTCCTCACAATTTGCAAACTCGTTTGATTCCCCACATGGTTTCAAGATTTTGTTTCTGAAACTTAGTGCATTTATCACTCATTTGTACTATTTCGCATGTGAAACTTAATGAAGTTTTAAGAAGATGTTAAAACGTATGTTTTTTCAAAGCCCCTGTCACAAACTCACAAGGAACCTGAGTATGCAAACGGAATATAAATAAAATAAATAATAGATTCAAATTCGAAAGACCAAAGCAAAAGCACAAGCTGTG